GAATCTCTGTGAGTTCAAGGCCAGCCTGGTCTACATAGTGAGTTCCAGGACAGCTGGGGCTACAGGGAAACCCTGTCTCAAAAAGACCAAAAAAAACAAAAAAACCAAAAAAACCTTAGAGGTTCTATTCAATTGTACTACACTTATATAAAGATATGCCAGTCTGACCTAAACTGGTTTGGAGTGCATGCTCAGTAGGGCAAACTCTATCCTGTAAGTGAACTTTTAGGAAGAATATCTTACTCAACACCTATACCTATGTAAGACTGGGCATTCATATGGTTAAAATCAGATGCATTATGGAAAGGGGCATGTGAAATGATCAAAGTCCTATATACTCCAGTCCTGCCAATCAAAATGGAGAATCGGCTAAGCCATTTCCCCAGAAACCAGACTCCCCTTTCTCCTGACAGCTATCTGACAGTCCACTCTTTCAGCAGGCAGGGCAGCGCCCCAGGCATGTTTCCTCCTACGTATATACGGACACCTGAGGGTTCTCACTCACTCACACATTCACTTATCTATCCACTGTTTGAGCATGCACAAGGCTAATCTGGAAGAACAGGCACGCCATTCTCCACCTGGGAATAAGAACTGTTGTGTACACACAGACACACAGTGATCGTGCAGAAGCAGACAGGCAGCAGAGCGCGGCGGGATATTGTGTAGGAGACGCAGAAAGGCCTGATTCCCTAACCCGTGTCTCCTGTTTACTTCCTGGGCCTCAATTTCCTCATCTGTAAAATAGAATAATGTATTCTGTGGAGACACTGGTTGCCTCTGAGGCCATCTCTGCTTGGGTGGAAAGGCCTCTATCCACCCAGGGAAGGTTGTTATAGGACAGAGTTCGTAAAAAATCACCAACACCACTTTAAGAAAAGCAGCAAGGTAAATTTTAATTTTCGACCGGCCGGGGTGTCTGTCTCGGGAGTAGAAGCAGCCCTGATGATTGTCAGGTCAGAGTTTTCATAGGATTGCAGAATTATTATTAAAACAGGACATTTGGGAACCAATCATGTTTGTACAACATAGCAGAACTTTGACTCTATTAATTAACAACCAATCATTATACAGACAAGTGATACAGTCATATAACTTGGCACTCAACTCTGTGACCTTAAAACTAGCCAACTGTTTTAGCCATAACAAGTATAATAAGACAGTCAAGGTAAATGACTTCTAGGTCATACAATAACAAGATAACAAGGGTGGTCTTATGCCCTGTGTCAAGGCAACCCAAGACAGCAAGCGGGTTACAGAGCAAAAACAAGCTGGTTAGTCAAATGTGTAATGTCTGGAATTAGCACATTCCATGATTCATGGCTAGGGTTCTTTTCCAAGGCCCAAGGTTGCCCCCCCTTTTCCTTTTGGTGTGGAGCATAGTTGCTGCTAAAATGGCTCTGAACAAAATGGAGTAACTTGGGGAAGTTTGCTGAGCCAGTTCAAAGGTATCTTGTAGAACTGGTAGATATTTGAGTCCCTGGCATGGGAACATGGAAGTGAAGTCTGTTGTGTTTGCAGATGTAGGAGGGGAATTGGAACTAAGACAGCTTGGAGTGAAAACAGGTATCTGTTCAGCTCATCATTTGGCTTGGTTGTTACCTGGAGAAAAGCCAGAGTGTGCCTCACAATGCATAATGGTGTGAATGAAAGTTCCCAGAAAACCTGCACCTTGACCCTGAAGCTTCTGGGGAGGCTAATCCACTGATTAGAACTTCAGTGATTGTGGAAAGTTTGGAAAGTTGCAGGTCCAGAGTCTTATTACCATTTATCTTGGGCCATCTTTCGTTCCCTAAACATCCACTCTTTGCCCACCTTTGTTTCTGACTTAACATCCTGTGACTAACAGAT